GTCCCCAACACCCCAGCCACTTGGCTAGCTCATGCCCGAAATAACAACACACAAACTGTATTCATTTAAGAACTGCTTGGCCCATGCACTCTAGCCCTTACAGGCTAATTCTCGCACCTGGACTAGCCCATTTCTAATGATGTGTGTAAGCACCCCAAGGTGTGCTTTCCGGGAAGATTCTAGCCTAAGTCCATTGTAGGTTGCAGCTGCCTGGGAGAGCAGAGCATGGCGGCTGTCCGGTCCCTCTGGAAGCAGCGCAGAGACTGACCTCATCTCTGATTCTTTTTGTCTGATCTCCAGACCCTTTTCCTTTTACTGGGTTGCCTTGTCCAGCCTGATGTGAGAGTCGGTACCTCGTCTTATTATAATTTGCTATGCTGTGCTTGGTTGATGTATCTGGGAGGCCTGATCTTTTCTAAAGGAAAACAGAGGAGCAATGGATCTGGGAGTAAGAGGAGGTAAGTAGAGGGTGGACTGGGAGGAGTGGAAAGAAGAGAAACTGTAGTCAAAAGAAATACATTGTGACTTACCTATAAGATGGAATAAGTAGTCAAAATAAATGAGTTTTAAAGTCATGTGACTATTATTGTGTTCCAAAAAGACATAGGCCTATGCCCTCTTAATTTTTTCTCAATTGCGGTTCAAATTTGTTTGTTTGTTTGTTTGTAAGAAAGCTGTGTTGAAATACCAAACATAAGCACTAATCATGTACTGTGAGAACAGTTTTCTGTTCCTTGTGTGTGACTATACTGTTCTGTGGTGAGGCACAGCTTACAAAACTTCCCATGTACGGCTAGAGACTACTGAAGTCCTCAGCTCAACTGAGCCTCTTGACCTCAGGTCTGTGTGCAGCCAGCCTTGCTGCATTCCTCAAAAGCTGTACCCCTCCCAGCTCACTGGTCCACCCGCATCACTAAGAGTCACTAACAATATCCTGCTATTGCTCTTCTCAAGTGCACCATCAATGCAGTCCCCAACATCTTTCTGAATATATGAATTCCCATCAGCATATGGCTTTTCAAACATTTAACTGAAACACTACTACTAGGAATCAGCGAGAATGTGATAGCATCTTTGAAATAGATTGTGTTGATCCAAATATTTCTTTCCATTCAAGCCAATTATTTAAAATAGAATACTTGAAAGCTTACTACCAGTATATCCGATAATAAACTTGATTTTAATGCACTTTATAACTTTTTAAATATTTCATGTCATTTTACATATTTCTTTTTTATTAAGTATTTTTTTAGTTATACAGAACAGCCAAGGCTAACCTAGAATCATTGTCTATCCTGTTTAGTACCCAGGTACTAAGATGATAAGCTGTGTCACCAAAACGGTCTTGTTTAACTTCTTTTTAAGTAGTTATTTTTAAAACATTTGTTTCATGAAACCAAGAAATAAGATGCTACATAGCAAAAGAAAGAAAACAAAAAAAAAAATAGAAGAAAATGTACAGCTGCATTTGTGCTCATTTCTTTTTTTTTTTATTTTTTTTTGACACATAAAGTTGTTTAATTAGGTTGTCAGCAATTTAGAAAACCAGTTTGTGAGGATACATCCCGTTCGTCAGACAGAACTGAGAGCGCAGGTAGCCCTGCAGCTGAGGAACAGCTTTGATCTTTAGCAGAATCTGCGAGTCCACCGCTTTCTGATCAGCCTTGCGCTGCTCTGTAATCTCATATTTCTCCTTCTCTGTGTCAAAAATCTCGCCCTCCTTATGCCTGGGCTTACGCAGCTGCTTTTTCTTGAAGTAAGCATCAGTCAGGTGTTTGGGGATTTTAACTGTGCTGATATCAACTTTTGTAGAGGTGGCGATGACAAATTTCTGATGTGTTCTTCTCAAAGGAACTCTGTTGAGGGCAAGAGGTCCTGTCACAAGCAGCAAAGCACTGCCCAGTTGCTTCAGGAAAACCACTCTCTTGCCCCTGTGGCGCCATCATCTTTTTAATTTTTTTATTATTATAATTTCTTGCTTTTATACATCTTCTAAGAAGGCTTGAAAAAGTTGTCATACTAGGAAATCTGTTCTCAGAACAATCTGGAAGACAGTCTCTCTGTGCCGCTGGGCAGCCTGAGTGGAAACATATTAAGGCCAGTGTAGAAGCTGAGACCAGAAGATTGGTCTCATGTTATTTTATTTCGAAGGATGACAAGAAAAGGTGGTTTAGTAAATAATTTAAAGTTAAGGACTGTCGAAGAACTGATCGATGTGTAATATTTTTTTCAAGATAATTGCTACTCCTAGTGGTTTTTTATTTAATTAAAAATTTACTTTTTTCTTACATAATATTTTCTAATTAGTTTTCCCTCTCTCTCCACTTTCCAGTTCCTCCTCCCCTCTCCTCCCATATAGATCTACCCCCTTTCTGCATCTCATTAAAAACAGATTATAATATACAGATACAATATATCAAGAAAATAAAAGCAAACTTAAAAATTAAAATAAATTACATTAAAGCAGAAATAAGATAAAATTTAAAATTTCAAAAAAAAATCCTTGACACAATATTATAAGAGAAAGAACCTCCAGAGGTGCCATTGAGTTTGTTTTCTGATGGCCATTTACTGTTGGCCATGTGCTTTAAGTTTAAGAGTAGTTAGTTTCTCCAATGAGACTCCTTGAAGAAAATTAAATTTTCATTCATGAGTGGTTATCAACTGGAGGTTGCTTTTGTGCTAAGGTCGGAAGTATTGTGTCCACTTCTCCTTGAAGTTCTAGGACCTCATCTGGTACAGACCATGCAGGCCCTATTCATGCTGTCTTCCATCTCTGTGAGTTCATATGTGCTTCAGTCTTGTTGACTACACCTTGTTTCTTTGGTATCCTTCATTTCCTCCAGCTCTTGACTTTTTCTTCCTCCTCTTTGGCAGGGTTCCCTGAACTCTGAGTTGGGATTTGATGAAGAGGGCCTGTTTAGGACTGAGTGTTCCTAGATCTCACACACTGTATATTGTCTGAATCTGGGACTCTATATTCTCCTACCTGCTTTGGGAGGAAGCTTCTCTGATGGTGGCTAAGCAAGGAACTGACGTATAGGTATAGCAGAAAGTCATTAGGAGTCAATATATTACAATATCTTTTTAGAAAGCTTTCCTCTAGGTCCCTGGGCTATTTAGCCTCAGATTTTTAGTCACACAAGCAGTGTTGGGAATGGATTTCGTGTTATGTAGAGAAGGCCTTGACTCAAATCAGATACTGGTTGGTTACTCAAACAATTTGTGCCACAGATGAATTGGCATATCTTACAGACAGGACTCATTTTATATGAAAAGGTTTGTGGTGGGGTTTGTGTTTTCAATTCTCTTTTGGTAGCCTGCAGAGTAACTTCTTTCACCAAAGATGATAACACATAAGGGTGAAGAACCTCATCTACCTCTTCTTCACCCCCCATATTTCATCTCCCATTCCAACTCCCCTACATCCATACACAACCATCTATTCTATTTCTCTTTCTAGTGAGATCTATTTGTCCCTCCAAGTCACTTAGTCTATATCTGATCTCTATGGTTTTAAAAACTGGAGTTTGTTTATCATAGATTTAACAACTAATAACTACACATAAGTGAATACATAATAAATTTTTTCTGTCAAGTTATAAGTTACCTCACTCAGGATAATTTTTAATAGTTACAACCATTTAACTGTGAATTTTATGATCTCATATTTTAACGGGTGAACAATATTCTACTGTGTAAATGTTACACATTTTCTTTTCTCCTTTTTAAAATTGATTTTATTTAGCTATAAGTTTTTCTCTGCTCCCCTCCTTTCCCTTCCCCTCCCTTTCAACTTTCTCTCATGGTCCCCATGCTCCCAACCTACTCAGGAGATCTTGTCTTTTTCCGCTTTCCATGTAGATTAGATCCATGTATGTTTCTCTTGGGGCACTCATTGTTTTCTAGGTTCTCTGAGATTGTGATTTGTAGGCTGATTTTCTTTGCTTTATGTTTAAAAACAACTTATACATGATAATTATCCTTCTGGGTCTGGATTACCTCTCTCAATAGGATGTTTTCTAGCTCCATCCATTTGCCTGCAAATCTCAAGATGTCATTATTTATTCTGCTGTGTAGTACTCCATTGTGTAAATGTACCACATTTTGCTTATCCATTCTTTGGTCGAGGGGCATTTAGGTTGTTTCCAGGTTCTGGCTATGACAATAATGCTGCTATGAACATAGTTGAGCACATGTCCTTGTCGTAAAATTGAGCATCATTTGGATATATGCCCAAAAGTGGTATTTCTGGGTCTTGATGAAGGTTGTTTCCTAATATTCTGAGAAATCACCATACTGACATCCAAAATGACTGGACAAGCTTGCATTCCCACTAGCAATGGAGGAGCATTCCCTTTACTCCACAACCTCTCCAGCATAAATTGTGATCAGTATTTTTGATCTTGGCCTCTTTTAACAGGTGTAAGATAAAATTTCCGAGTTGCTTTGATTTGCATTTCTGTGATGGCTAAGGATGTTGAGCATTTCCTTAAATGTCTTTAAGCCATTCTAGATTCCTCTGTTGAGAGTTCTCTTTTTAGGTCTGTACTCTATTTTTTTATTGGATTATTTGTTTTTTTTATGACCAATTTCTTGAGTTCTTTATTTTGCAGATCAGACCTCTGGTAACACATTTTCTTTATCCCTTCTTCTGGTCAGAAATATCTAGATTGTTTCCACTTTGTAGCTATTATGAATAGAGTATCAATGAACACAATTATACAAGTATCCTGGTAGTAGGATGAAGAGACATTTGGAAATATGCCCAAGAGTGGTAGAGATGGATTTTGAGCAAGACAGATTTCCATTCTCCAGAGAAACCACTACAATTTTTTTAGTGACTATTTATGTTTGCAGTCCCACCATCCATGAATGAGTGTTTCCTTTACATCATAACCTTAGCAGCCTGAATTATCTGTCATTTGTTTTACTGACCTTAGCCGTTCTGAAGGGTGCAAAGTGAAATCTCAAAGTAATGTTGAGTTGCATTTCACTGACAATTGAGATTATTGAGGATTTCTTTCAGTATCACCATTTGAGCTTCTCTGTTGAGGACTCTGTTTATATATGAGCCTCATTTTTAACGGGTTCATTCATTTGTGATATCTACATTTTAATTCCTACTGTGTTTTGATTATTAGCCCTCTATCAGATGTATAGTCAGTAAAAATATTTTCCCATTTGTAGGCTACTACTTTGTTTGAATAACAATGTCCTTCTAGGTTTCATGAGGTCTCATTTATTTTGATCTTGGTGCCTATGCTAAGGCTGTTCTGTTCAGAAAAGGCTTTGCCTGCAACAGCACATTCAAGACTATTCCACACTTTCTTCTCTAACAGATTCAGTGTATCTGGTATTATGTTGATGTTTTTGATCTATTTGGAATTATGTTCTGTACAGGATAATAAGTATGAATTTATTTGATTTCCTCTATAGCAGCCATCTAGTTTGATCAGCACCATTTGTTGAAGATTCTGTCTTTTTGTCCAGTGTCTATTTCTAGATTTTTCTTTTTCTTTCTTTTCTCTTTCTTTCTTTCTTTCTTTCTTTCTTTCTTTCTTTCTTTCTTTCTTTCTATCAAAAATCAGGTATGTGTGGGTGTGTGGATTTATGTTTGGAACTTTAATCTGATTCCACTGATCCTTATGTCCTTGTGCCAATACCACACTGTTTTTATTGCTCTAGGTAGGTGTCATGTTTACTAAATTAATCCTCCCCATTTATGGGTATGAGAGATTTTTCCATCTTCTGAGATTTTCTTCAGTTTTTTCTTCATTTTCTTAAAGTTCTTAATCATACAAGTCTTTCATTCCTTGCTTGGATTTACTCCAAGATCACTTATATTATTTGGTGTCATTGTTAAAGATCTGTATTTCTCTTTCTTTGTGGGAGCTTTTTATGGGTAGGATATTAGGATAACTGTGGACATTTAAAAAATGGATAACATTCATTGTTTTTATTTTGTGCAATGATTTGAAGAATATTGGCTTTAGTTCTTTGAAAGTCTAGTTGAATTCTGCACTAAAACCATCTGGCCCTGGGCTTTTCTATTTGGGTTGGTAGATTTTAATTATTCATTCTGTTTCACTAGGAGTCATAGGGCTTGTTTTGTTTACTTTTCCTATTTTCATTTAATTTTGGTAAGTGACATGTATTCAAGAAAATTCTCCATTTCTTTCAGACGTTCCAACTTGCTGGAGTAGATTTCTAAAGTATGCCCTTATAATTCCCTGGACTTCCTTATTGTCTATTGTTTTGCCACCTGCCTTTAATCTCTAATTTTGCCAATTTGGTTATTCTTTCTCCCTGGTAGTTAATTTTGGTAAGAGTTTCTCAATCTTAATGATTTTCTCAAAGAACCATCACTTTGTTTCACTGATCTTTTGTGTTATTTATTTATCCATTGATTTCATCAGCAACAAACTATTTCTTGTCATCTACTTCTTCTGAGGGTTAATTTCTTATTTTTGTTCTAGAGATTTCAAGTGGACTATTAAATTACTGTTATGAAATCTCCCACACAGACACAAACTGGCACCTAGTGCAATAAACTTGTCTCTTAGAACTGCCTTCATTTTATCTCATGAGTTTATGTATTTTGTGTACACATTTTCATTAATTTCTAGAAATTCTCTAATTTCTTGACCCATTTTTCATCCAGTAGTAAGTTTCTCAATTTTCATGAGTTTGTAGCTTGTTGTTGTTTTGTTATTGTTGATATCTAGCTTTAATCCACAGTGGTCAGATGAGATGCAGAAGTTTATTTAATTTTCTTGTATCTGTGAGAACTTGTTTCATGTCTGAGTATGTGGGCAGCTCTGAAGAAAGATCCATGAGGTGTTAGGAAGAAGGTATATTCTTTTGTGTTTGAGTGAAACGTTACATAAACATCTGTTAGGTCCATGTGGATTATTTCAGTTAACTCCGGTATTTCTCTGT